TTCTTGATAGTAGGGTTTGTAATTTATTTATTTTTATTGAAAATATTCAAAATATATCCTTTATTTTTTTAATACAAGTTAATGTTGATGTTGTCCAATTGATAAATAGAAAGTTCACATTACAGGTGGTAGAAGACGAGATATTGAAAAGGCTATCCAAAGACTCGAAATATTGGAACAAATCTATGTAGTTATTTTTTCATATATTCATATTTTTAAATTTAAATAGTAACATTTAAATCCATCCTCACATATATATATATACGTTAGCTTCGACCTGATTTCAGACCAAAAAGAGTTCTGCTTGTACACTATCCGCAACAAGATGTTCATTTCAAACTATATTTCCTTCCATTGAAAAATCATGGATATTTTAGAATGACAGTTAAATCACATGTGGATCAAAATGTATATTTGCTTATACCTGCTGTTTTGGATCCTGGGACTGGCAAATTTCAAATAATCAATTCACAAGATTCCGATCCTTTAAATGTAAACACCAGTAACAATAATCATAGTAATGGAAATAAAAATAATTTACAACAATTATCAATCAATCAATTAGCCGTTCCGTTAAATAATAATAATAATGCCTTTTCGATTATTCGTGACATAGAAAACAGACAAAGTTATTTTATAAAGAAAGATTTATTTATGGCAAGGAGTTAGATGCTTGCAACACATAAATGTGGAGGAACAAAGGTCAAGAGAATGTGAAGAGAAACAAGATACTCTGATAGATTAGTTTGTGGATATAATTCAACCTGTTGGAATTTAAAAGAAAAGTTGACAGGTTATATTATTATTAATGATAAAAAGTTTTATTTTCAATATATTATTCAATAATTAATATTGAGTAGAGTTAAAAATCCTGGATATGCAATGTAATGAACCTTATTGTTATAAATTTATCATAAAGATAACTTAAAAAGGTTCGTTTGTTGGAAGAATATATTATTATATATAGTAATGAATTTTTTTACTGTGAATATATATATATATAAATGTGATATGTATAATCTATGATTCAAAAAATCAAAAGAGAAGACTGTACAAGAAATAAATAGTAAATTAATGGAAAAGATTAAATGGATGGAATATCAGACGATTTCCATTTTTCTTCTTTTTTTCTATTTATAAGCGTTGGGTATATTATTATCAACTGACAATTCCCCAAACCTATTTATAAAATAAACCTTCCACTCTGCCCATAAATTTATACTAGTGCCAAACACCAAAAAAACGGATATTCCCAACGTTGCAGTAAATGATTCTGATATTATCATAAGAGTAACCCTTGGTATATGTGGTACTGATATTTTAGAACACATGTTTTGCCCATTCCCTTCTAATATACATGCTAACCATTCAGACACCCATTCTGGTTTTGCGTCATCGTATAATCTTTTTAGTTTTGGAAGTTCAACTATTTCGTATGTCTAAAAACAAATTTTGAGAAAAAAAGCCTTGTTAAAAAAAGCGTTCGAATAATAATAAAAATATTATTTTTAAAAAATGATTTAATGAGCAAACATACCCAATAAACCAAAAAAGTAATCAAGAGTAAAATGGCCAACAAAAGAGCACGCCATTGTATTTTTAGTATTCTAACAACTTCATGACTTGTTTTGAAATTAATGTTATGTTTCATTGTAGATGTTGTAGCTGTGATGTCAGAATCTGTGGAATCTGTCATAGTTGGTCCTGGTCTATTTAATGACCAATGTGACTTTTAATTGGGAAATAACGTGTAAAGATGGTAAGTTAGAATTGAAAGTTATCTTCAATTATATTTATTCATCAAGAATCAGCCAAAAAAAATATTTCACTCACCACTGTAATATACACGACGGTCCAAGTATGGATCAAGAAACCGGGAAACACAAGCGCGGCCAACGGATAAAAAAAATAGTTGTTTGAATATTCTGAA